CATGTAAAATCGTGAAGATAAAATTTTCATTTTTTTTTTTTTTTTCAAGTATGCAGCGATACTCCAAAATAAGAATTGTTTCTATAAATATTGTAAATTCACTACTGATATCGTACGATTGACAAATAATAAATAATCCATAACTATAAACCCACCTTTGTCACTACTTTCTTTGTTTCTCCAGCTTGAACGGTAATAGGAGTTATCATGGGAAGCATGGGCGCGTTATCATTAACATCGTTCAATATCACCACGAAGGATAACGGCGCGGAAGCAGCGATGCCCGTTTTTTCTCTGGCGACCACTTGAAATCGGAAACGTCCAGGGCTCGGAGGATCACGATCTAAATTTTCTTCGTTTACGACCAGTATTCCGGAAGGATCGATCGCGAAGAAATTGGTAGTCAATTCAAAAGTGTAAGCTGGTTTCGGATCGTCAGGGCCCTAAACGTCCAGTTAATACGACAAAGAAATGTTATTTATCCATTTCCATGATAAATAAAGATATAATTAATTTCTATAATAAAAATAAATATATTTATATAATTTATTTTTTTATTATTTACTGATGCTGTATTTCTTCAGAAATTAGATTATTTTCAAAATCAAGTATATATTCGTTTAATTTACAGATTCTACAATAGAAAGTACAATTGTTTACATGCACCGATAAAACAGTATATAATAAATATATATAAATAAATATAACAAATATGCATCTAGTGATCATTAATTAACGATATTCAATACGTTTCACATATGCAAAACAATACCTATGAACACTGAATTTCGAAATATTAGAATCGAAATATAGAAGCTATTCCTTAACATTTATTCGTCTACAACTTGCAAATATCAAGAAAAAGATTTTGGAAAGATTTTTTTATACATACAAATAATTTAAAACTTACTTATTATTGACATTTTAATAAGATTAAACGTCAATACCATTTTGTAAAACATTTATAAAAATAATAGAGACGAAAAGAAAATGTTAAAAATTTTTACACTATTGGTATATATTGTTTTAGACAATTCTTAATAAAGTTACAATACTATATTGAACATAGCAATGTTCTCGTTGAACGCGAAGGAGGCGTATCACATCGCAAACAAATAAACAACTTTGTACATGTAGAGCAATAGCTACTGACACAATTTCATTGCAGCGACATTGTACTTAACGAAATTCAGTACAATTTCGGCACAATAATTTGCATCGTCTGGCCGAAATAAAAATACACCAAACGTGTGTTAATCTATTTGCGGATATTGAAAATTTTTAAACTGGTAAACAGATTCATTATACGATATCGTTTATCAAAGATGCATTAATCTTGATTGATCGAAGAGATGATATGTAGTTACAAAAGAAACGATGCAGACATTTATTTTTGCTGTTAACTTCTTCTACTAATTTTTCTTACTCTTTTTAGGAGATTGATTTAGTGAATCGATACGAACGAGTTATTAAGAACAAAAACATCGATCGAACTCGTAGAAAAGGTGAAAGTTCAATTACAAAAATTCAACTTACCAAATCAGCGTCCGAAATAGTGAGTACTACAGGATTGCCATTTTTGTCAATAACCTTTGTTCCAATCGGGGCATTTTCATCGACGAAACCCTCTATGCTCGATGTTGTTATAATCGGAGGATTGCTGTCCACTGGCTTTACGGTGATAGTCAATTTGGCTGTGGCCGATCGTTTCGCTTCTGACACTTCGACGGCCTTTCGTTCAATAAATAAACGAATAACTTTATTACATGTTTACATAGTTTTTTTTTTCTTTTTTAAATTTGCTAAATTATGTTACAGTGATACCAAGGTTATCACTCTTACCTTGATGATAATATCGAACTTCTTGGTAACAGTTGTGTCGACCGCCTTAATTTGCTTCACGGCGCCAGTGTTGGGGTTTATTTCGAAAAATTCCCGATAATTCGATGGATTGCCACTGAGGAACGAATAATGAATAGGTGCGTTTATACTATCCATATCAACGGCTTGTATTTTCTCCGGCGATATATTAAGTATACCGGATAACACTCCGCTCGATACCTGATGGGAGAAAAGACATAATGTATAGAACCGGTTCACCGATAGTTTCGAACCGTGTCACACGAGATTTCAGAGTAAAGAAATCTCGTGGCCGCGTATTAAGAATCGAGGATTGGATGTTGTCTTTCACTTTACAATGCACGATAACGCGTATATCGAAACATATATACATGCCACCATCAGAAATTACGTCCGTTTGCCAATGTTCGGTTTCTAAGACCGACAATGTTTCAAGTCGTAGTCAAAGTAGCTTGAATATCTATACAAAAAAATGTTCTTCCAACTTGTAGTATTACGTATACTTTTGTTTGTAATTTTATTTGTAATTTACTCGATTATCATAGTTTAGACAGAGAATATATCAGATATTCCGCTTAACATTTCTATTCAACTATATATATATTCTGTATATATTTTTGAATTTTTCTATAATTCGATCGAATTGCTATACTTGCCGAATCAATGACTCGAATTTATTGAATATTACATAATAAATCGATACAAATCAAAAAGTTTCTGTATTACACGATAAAAAGAGATATATGAAGAATTAATGGCGCAGTTTTACAATGTTACTTTATTAATAAACATTGCATTTATTGTATTTATTATTTTTATATTTTGCTGTTAAATTATTTTTACATACGTTTTATCAATAAATATAAATCTTATTTTGTTTGCTTATTATCGCACTATCGTATATGTTATATAGATTATACCAAGCCATAAGATAAATTCTCAACTTCGGATTAAAAAGCTAGAATCTTCTTTCGTAAAATGAATGTACTTACGGATGCTGAATATTCTGGATTAATGCATGCGCCATCCAAAAGCATGCAACCTTGATAAATGAAGGAAGGATCTTGATCATCGTCGTCTCTAATATTTACCGTCAAAGTGGTTGTAGATGTGAATCTTTCGGAAACGTTCCTTGCTCGATCCTGCGAACAAATAATTTATCACATAGTTTTTATCCCATCGTTTCATACTATCTTGAATTAACACCATGATTACATTAAATTAATTTAACTAATAAAACGTACACATTTCGTCACAATTATTGCAATGCTATCGACGAGATTTTGTTTTAATTTCATTGAAAATAAGCTAATAAACAAACGCTACTTCGGCGCGAGATATCTGTGGCGTCACAATATAGCAATGAAAGGATTAACATCCGCTTGACATTCATACAGAAATTTCGAGTTTCAATTTTGAAAAAAGTAACAGACATCTGTTGTATCACGGATGAATATAACTGTGAATAATAAAAGTTACATGTGCTAGCAAATTAAATTACTGCAATTATTACGCTATTAACATTTACATGTGTATCATGTTTCATTTCACATGCATACATAAATTCTATGAATTCGCTTCTCATACAATCTCGTTTTGAGTCGCTGAATTAAGTATCGCGGTATGATTTAATGCGATTGCAGCGAGTAACGCAATTGCTATCATTTCTATAATCTCGCCACGTACATCATTATCCGAGGATAATGCGCGCTGGTTAGAAATGAAACTGTGACGAACAATGTCGCGTCGACCGCGGAATATAGCATTCGGCAAATTATTCACGGTATTAATTTCGGAAGGATCCTATTATATATGTAACAATATGTCCATCAATGCCAATAATTTTCATTTAATATCATACTGACTCGACGTAATGTAAAATTATTAGGTAATTCGGTCGAACCTCAAAGTTCAAAGTTAAATACAACAACAGACCTTTGCTTCTTTGCTATTCGCCCAGTTATTTCTATTCAGTCATGCAAATTATCCAATAAAATGAAAACAATTGTTGCGTTGTAATTTGCAAGTCAACGAAATGACGAAAGCATTTTTGTTTGCCAAAGCAATATTTTGCATTGTGTTCAAATACATTTCGCATTTTTTCGGTGCGAGAAGAGAGAATGTTTGCGGTTACGATATCTGGAACTCGAAGCCACCGTGACTCGTAGTATAAGCTTCGTTACTGCTCTGTAAAAACTTTTTACTTTTACTTTGCTCTTTTTCTTATATCGTAACTCTGTTTATGTGGCATGGCAATTTCAACACAACCACGTGTACACGATACAATTGTATCTAGTGCATTGTCAACCAGAGAAACGTCACTCTTAATACATTTTTATGAGTTCAGTCATTTATTTCCTTGCGGGTTGATAATCTTTTAATATCTAATTTCAAGGATAGAAAGAAGAAAAAATAAGCATACATGACATGTATGCTTGAGAGGGGTTATATATTGTATCGCCGTGGAATGAAGGACAATACATTCGAGAAGATGTGAACCAGCTGCTTCACATAATATTCAAATGAGCCACACCTGTGTTCAGCAGCTGTTGCAGCGAGTCCACGTTACCTTCACAATCGATAGAAAGATTGATCATGAACTCAAACGCGTACATCACTTTCCACATTTCATATATATACTTATAGGAGAAAGAGAGGGGCAAGATGAAGACACAGGATAAAACGGACCAATTGTTTAATTCATATTTGCAAAGCTTGTTGTTACTAAAAATATTACTAAAAATAAGAAGAACATTTGAAATTTTGTTATACGTTATCAATAGCATATGCAGTCGCTTATTACGTTCTTTTTCTTATGCTTTTACTGATCACATTTCTGATTCTCACGATCATGATTTTATTTTCTTACACGTTTTAAACATTAACAAATAGCAACAATTACATTATATATATATCAGTCAGAAATTTTTTTCAGATACTTATTTATCTGTTCACGGGTATTATTCATAAACAAATAAAAATATTATTCATGAAACAATTAAAATTATTTTTGTAAATTTTCCATTAAGTCTAGAATTAGTTAAATTTAAATCTAGTTAACTCAAGTTTCATTAAATAGATGTACAGAGTGTCCTAGTATAAAGAGCGAGAAAAGGATGATTCTATATCAAAAAATAATAAAAAAAAAAAGTTTTTTTCATTTAAGGCTTCATTTTCGAGAATATCAAGTTTGAAGATTTAACAGCTAAATTTAAATTTAGCTAATTCTAGACTGATCAAGAATAGGACATTATTCTACATGCAAAAATAAGTAAAAAATGTAAAATACAATTTTTTTATTCAGTTTGAAAGTTTATGAAGAATTTAGTTTATCTGACACGTCGAGAAATAAAACCGTTAAACCGAAAAACTCGGATAATAGAGGCAATATTCATATAATAACTTTGTTATTTTTTGGATAATAAGAGATACATAGTAGATAAGAAGTTAATCAATTATGAGTTCGTATGTCTGAGGCCTGACATTAACTGTTCAAATAAACATTATACTATGTTTGCCAAGTCCATTTTTATTTAAACATATTCAAAATATATTTTGTTGTGGCCTTAACTATAAAAATTTTATTCTATATTTTTCACTTATTTTCGCAGATTAGAATAATCTTTTATCGATTAACGTCTCCTGTTCAGTTCATAATTAAACAAATTTAAGTATATTTGATAAATTTTTAAATTTTCATTTGCTCAAAAACGACATCTGAAAAAGATTTTATTCATTATTTTCGATTTATTTTTTTCCAAAGCACCCCTTTCTCGATTGTATTACTTTTAATAGAGAGACATCCTATATAATATTTCGTTTTCGATGCAGGATCAATAAATACAAAATTATAAAACAAGTTTTCCTTAGCGTTCTTATTTTTCTCCCCTTTATCTACATTCTTTTATAATAATTTGAAGTAAAATTAATATTTCAAGTATCATAATACAGTTACACAGTTACAATTCAATTTTTTTACATTAAATGATATAGTAGTCAGGAAATAGAATTTTCGATTTTTTTTATTTGTTCTTTCACGCCTCTATAACTTCTTTTTATACACTAAACTAATGTTACATTGATTAACCTAACTGACCTAAATTAACTAATTAATTGATTTCAATTTCTTAACCTATCCTGATCTACGTATAAACTTATCTCTATCTTTAGCACCGATATCTTTCCTTCTTGCTCTCCAGTTTCTTCCATTTGACCGCATCCTCGCAATATATACCTTCTCTTACTCTTTTCAGGTTACTTATCATTTTTCTCACTTCTCCGAAGCCTTTCATGTAGTGCCTTAGTGCCCCATCTCTTACCACACAGAACATATACTTTACTTTCTTATCCGCTATCCAGAACTTACTTCCTCCATATTCCCACAACGCATCCTTGCCACTATTTTCTATTATTTCTTCCTTATTTCCTTAAATATTAGATCTTGCTTTTAGATAGGTAAATCTATTATCTATACATAGTTTATGTACATCGTCTAAATATTACACGTAGATAGAAGATAGGAAATTTAACAATCGTAACAGATAGAAAATAAATAGAAAATAACTGAAACAATACCCAGCGTAAACTTTTAAACAACTATTTTCCTATAAACATTTTATGTAACCTTGTAACATTCGATGAAAAGCGAATGTTGCTAGCTTTAGTATCTCAATAGATGTATCTCTTGTATGGATAAAACACTTTCAGTGAGATTCGAACGTGAGAATAAAGCGATCTCTGATTGATAGAAGTCTCTTGGTATTGAGTTGATGACAACGCAGCTCAACCATTATGCTCGAATGTCGAAATTAAAGAATTTTATCTTATGTAATCCGTACACGATCAACATACCTAGTAATCACTCACCATTGAAACGGCGGTTACAACGTCGACCTCTTGCTGTACAAGTAATACGAGCAACAGCAGCAACAGCAGCAGCACTTTCACCAGATTAAAAGGTTTCATCGTTGATTTTGCACGATGTTTACTTTTATTCTAAATAGTTCTGGTCGCTTTCCATTTCCTTTTCTTTGGTCAGATGCATTATTTTAACTTTGATTTTTAAATTTCGTCCAACGTCGCACTGCTATTCAACCTGATCTAGGTGTTTTCTAACACATCGAATAAAAGTTTGGAAAATATTTCAATATATTTGGTAATCAATAATCTACAAACGATATGATTGGCATGTTTCCTGTATCATGTATATTACATGTTTAACGTTCATATTTAGTTAATTGCAATGTAGTCTTACTTATCAAAAATTAAATTTGTTTATAATAAAATAAAATTTGTTTAAAGTAAAATTTTCCTTGAAATACGTTAACAAACGTTATTGATTTAATACCTATTATCTAATAGTAAATATCTATATTCTAACATTTCATTTCAACTATAGGAATATGATTCTTTTATGATTCAATTTTTATTCGAATCTTTTCATATTCGATGAATTGTAAGTTAATTGCACAAATATGAATGTATAAACGAAGCGAACAAACAAAGCGGTAGTTTCCTAAAATCGCTTCTACTGCTACAACTTGCTACTGTGTGTATTTTGGAGTAGCATAGATTAAAAATTATTAAATTATTAAAAGTTTCCATTTGAACTCCTAAAAGACACACTGCATTTAACTATAAAAGAAGAACAAATTATAAATAAAAAAGTAGCATAAAAAATATTGAAACTTTAGCATCATTTTCTATGAGAATAGTTCATTTTCGATTTGTGGTTCTTTTGAAATTTTTTTTTTTTTTTTTAAATGCCATTGTTTAGATACATTTGAGTTCTATTTTATTATACAAACAGAATTAGAAACATTGATGGTCATAATGAATATAATCATCCGTGCTTCCGCAATTTGCATGAACTTTTAATCATCACTGAAATTTGAACACTTTCTGCATCTTTGGTGCCCATCATGTGTGAAACTAACGTCAATAGATGCATGCACTTGTGCTAATTTGCTAATATAATACCTGCAATGTTGCAGAAACTATTACAACTAGTAGTTTGTTTGGCAAACACTCATCTATCCTTCTATTTGCTATTAATTTCTATAACTAGAAAGAACATCGGCGTAAATTTAGCGCTGATGAAGCATTTCGTGTGCAGCTCGATCATTATGCTCAATTGCTTTGAAACTCTTAAAAAGATATGTATGATGTGATATAAAATACTAATACATATATTTGTTCATTCAATGCTATGAAAATTTACCACTCTGATAGGAATATATCTAAATATTAGGAATAATTATTTTATTATATTAGTGAAAGATTAAAATTACTGGAATGCGATTGATTTGAAAATCGAAGGAATCATTCGATAAATATCAAAAATAAATTAAAGATATATATTTCGTTTAAACAAAAAGTATATTAAATATGAAAAATATTGTTACGTACATGAATATACGACGAAGTTTAAAACTTTCATCATTTACGACTAGTCAATTGTCATTGATATGAAATTCTGGCAAATAATCTATTTTATTAAATGACTGAATAGTTTATTTCCTGCATTTGCTTGAAATACATTCGCAGAATAAAAGATGCTGAGAAGCGAGCGATTTCACTTTTGTCACTACTTAAATGGATAAATTTAAGGCTCGATTCATAGAAGCGTGACTCGAATATGCATTGTAGTTTCTCGCGGGATGCAT